GGTTAATGTTGGATTTGTGGGCTTGGGCAGCATTGGGTTGGGATGTTTTCGTGATGCACACTTTCTTTACATAAAACTCTCTTACACATTGAGTTGCTGTGGATTTGTTTCTCTAAAGTACCTAGACAAATACAAAAGGTATTTCCTATAAAGAAATCATTGGTTTGCACAATTCTATCATGCGATGTCTACTTTCATTTCTGCCACCAAGGCCATATTTTCCAGCTACCATTCCTTCCTCTTTGTTCCCAACTTTTGCATTCCAGTCACCAGTAATCACCAATGCATCTTGATTGCACGTTTAATTTCAGACAGAAGGTAATTTTAGAATTCCTCAAGTTTTTCATCAGAAGCTTTAGTAGTTAGTGTATAAATTTAAATAATAGTTATATTGACTGGATTTCCTTGTATGCCGCTAGATATTGCTCTATCACAGCAGCATTGTACTTCGAAAGATCTTGAAATGTCCTTTTTGAAGATGAATGTGACTCCCTGACAATCACAGAAGTGCTAAAGAGACAGTAGAGGTGAGGTATCCACTCCGGGGAGCCACAATAAGAGGGGCAGGAAAGCATTAAGAACAGAGAGATAAGAAGCAGGGCAGGATAGTACTGGCACCTGTAGGGAGGTTTTAAGTTTGAGCAGGGTGGGGAATGCTGAGCTTCCGGTCAGAAGAATGTTTCTAGTCACCAAGCACCAGTGTGTGTGCTTGTGGAGTCCTGGACAAGCAGAGCCCGCTGTCTGGTTCCTGCCCCAATCAGAACACTGCTTGCAATGATTTTTAAATGTCATGCTGTGCTAGGCCCATTGGCAGTTCACTGTGCAGTATGGCTCCGTGTTCACTCCTCTTTTTATTCAGTCTCTTCCTCTGATTGGGCTTGGAGCCATTTCTTTATTTTTTCTTATCCTTTGAAGCTTTCAGGCTTAGGATTGTCCTCTGTATCCATAATTGGTTTCTCGGGTCTCTGTTGTGAAGGGTCTGGTCTACCATCTTGGCCACCAATCTCCCATCAACTATGTTTTCAAGCTTCAGTTTCACAGTAGGCTCCAAAGAGCTCCCGGATGGCCACTTGTGGGGCACACACTGTTCCGTGACTTCTGTCTGAGGCATGTGTCACTCTTCTAGGGAGAAGGGACGGAAACCAACGCGTATTAACTGCCTTCTGTCTGCCAAACTAGGGCGAAGGGCTCCACATACATGCTTTCACCTCTGTCTCACAAGAATTCTACGTTGCCTACTTTACAGAATGGCTAAATTATTTGCCCAAAGTTACAAAGCCAGCTAAGAAGTGGTGGAGCCAGGCTTTGAATTCTAGTCTCCCTAACCGTGACACCTGTACTCTTCCACAAACATACGGCAGACATCTGCAGGCAGAGTAACCCTCTCAGCCACATTCACTCTCCACTGACAACCATGTCTGTGTTCCAGGGATCTCCTTTAGGCCTGGTACTGCCCCCTACATTGTCGGCCACAACCTAATAAAGGCTCATGCTGAGGCCTGGCATCTATATAACGACATGTATCGTGCCAAGCAAGGGGGAATCATTTCCATCACCATCAATAGTGACTGGGCTGAACCCAGGAACCCCTCCAACCAAGAGGATGTGGAAGCAGCTAGGAGATACATTCAGGTTTGTTTTTCTTTGGGGAACTTTAAAAAAAAATCGTTTTATAGGGGGCTCTTACATATATCATAACAAACCATACTGGGGAGCTATTCTTATTTCCCCATCTTTTTCTCTCCTCTCATGGTCTAATGTGAATACAATTGGATTGCAAATCAAAAACTTTAAGATTTACATCGGTTTTGCTGTTACTTGAGTTTGGGAGCTGGGGGAAAGGCAGCTAACCGTGTTGTACTTCAGCTTTCTCATCTCGAAACTGGGTGTGCTCTGCCCAGCTCACAGGTTAACTGTGATGAAGTGATTTGAGCTCTATGGAGTAGGGGCTGGCTTTTAAGTCTGTGAAATTATTTAAGAGTGTCATCCTTACTGGATGTAAAATGGGCTTAACGTTCATTAATAGAAAGACATTCCATCCCTTTCATCTCTGGTTTGATTGTGGTGTCCAGTAGAGCTGGGATGCAATGCCAGGCTTTACCGCTAGATGTCATTATCTAAGCTTACTTATTTCAAGGTAGAAATTTTGTAAGGAGCCCTGGTGACTTAGCAGTTAATTAATTGGCTGTTAATTGAATAGGAGTTAGAACCTAGCAGACACTCCAGGAGAGAACGACATGATCTGCTTTTATAAACACTGCAGCCTTGAAGCAGAGAAGGGCTTCATGAGGCATTTTGATTCCGTGGCGATGGGTTGGATTTGGGATTTTAAATGTATTGGGAGTGTATTAGTGCCCCTAATTTACCAATGCCTGGGGTTTAAACATTAAGTACGTGCATATTTTGGTCTAGGAATTTTGTCCTATTACTACTCTGTAGGAAGAAGAGATACCGGTAAACAGAAACCAAGATAGCCTACCCTTGTTTTGGTCTGAGTCCCTAATAAGAGAAGTAAAAAGGTTAAAAAAAGAGAGCGAGAGCGAGCGAGCGAGCGAGAGAGAGAGAGAGAAGTAAAAGGAAATGAGCTTTGTTCATGGCCTGGCTTTTCTCCGACTCTTGCTGGTGTCTTTGAAGGCTTGGAAAGAACTCTTTCCCACATTTCAGCATCAAGAAAGAAATACGACGAGGGCTCTTTCTCCATCGAGCTTCACTTTTGGTTCTGTGGTGGAGCTGCCTGCCTGTGGCCCTCCTTACGGGAGGACACCATTCCTGACTCCTAGTGGCTTTATATAGCGTTTCTGCTGCCGTCATTCTTTACAGCAAAGATAACCTCCTCTTTCTCCCCTAGAGTGGCTGGTGGGTTTGAATCACTGACTTTGTGGTTAGCACCCAGCATCTAACCCACAGCAGCACCAGGGCTCCTTTAGGAATATTGGAGCCTTGATTTGCCTAATTCTTCAGAAGGGAGCTTGACAATGGTGGTCAAATAAGTCAATACAAACAAGGGCCAGATTTTCATCTTGTGAGCCAGCTGGAGAAAAGGAAGCTTGAGACAAAATAAATACACCCTTCATTTCAGACTCACTCAACTCATGAAGTAGAACAATAATTGGTTTTACTGAAATCAAGACCCCAGACTTTAGGAAATGTTAGCTTGTGAATTAGATCGAACATTTATATTGGTGAACTGTGATACTGTAGCTCAAGATATGAAGGTCTACTGCAAAAATATGTGGGTGCATTCGGACTTCTTTTACAGGGAATGTATATTCAAACTTCATGTCTGACTTTATTTATAATGGAAGGCTACCTCCATTCCACATGTTAGGCATGAGACAACAGACAAGGGTAGAATTGATGACATAGGGGAAGCTTCCCAAATATATAGCACAATAGTATTTGGATGCTGTGTTAGGCAGGGTCGACTAGAGAAACAAATCCAGTGATAGATAGATATAAATATATATCAAGAAAGCATCCCAGCCTTGTCCAAATTAAGTCTGTAAGTCCGATGCTAGTCCATATGCAGCCACATGCAGTCATCCAGAATGCAGGTGGATCCCAGGCCAGTGAGAGCAGGGTTGTGTGGATCCAAGGTCAGTGGAAGGCTGGGAGGGCCCCAGCAACTTCAGGGCCAGCGGCAGAGAGAGAGGGAGAGGGGTCCTCCTTATGAGAAGGCCACACCTGCAAGGACACAGCTTCAGGTTGTGACCTGGTTGACAGGTCTAACTGCACCCCTAGCCAGGAGTGTTTGGTTGACATAAAGCCATCAGACACCCACAGATGCCCTGAGTTCCCCTGTGATTCGGAACGGCCTAACAAATTGCTGTCTAGCCCATTCTGACTCGCGGCGCCCCTCGTGTCAGAGCAGACCTGTGCTCCACGGGGTTTTCTCCTGCTGACTTTTCAGAAGAAGAGCACCAAGATGGTCTTCCAAGGTGCCTCCACCCTTTCAGGTAACTCTTGGCACCACCCAGAGACTCCAAGGATGACTTAAACTGACTCCGAGAAAACAGATGGGCCATTTTCCCACTTTCCGGCTGTGAGCCCAAAGCCCATGTTGGATTATCTTTTACTTAGGAAGCCCAGAAATCCTTACAAGGCACTCCTTCCAGAAAGGTCTGGTTGGTGCACAGGAATATGGAGAGGAAGGGCAGGGGGCCTGCAGGCTGATCGCTCCCTCCTCTTCAGTGGGCAGACAGAGACGAGGGCAGCAAGACAACATTTTCTGGGCGCCCGGGCCTATGCTCCATTCAGTTCCTCCTCCTCAACATGCAATGACCCAGAGCACAGCGCAATTGCTCTCAGAAAACATAAGCACAGGTGAAGAGGCTTGCACACAAGCCGTGCCATGCAAACAGGCATTGGGAAATTGAGAGCTCAAGATTGGGAGCTGGGAAAGAAAGGGGGACTTCTGAGGTAGTGACCTCTAAACAGCCTCTTGGTTGTTTTACCTGACTGTCCCACAACCCCACCTGCAGTTTATGGGAGGCTGGTTTGCACATCCAATCTTCAAGAACGGAGATTACAATGAGGTGATGAAGACACGAATTCACGACAGGAGCTTGGCAGCTGGCCTCAGCAAGTCTCGGTAAGTCCCTGTGCCCACCCGCAGCCAGGAGAGCATCAGCCGGCCGAAGCCTGGTCTGCAGTTGCAAACACAGCCGTGGGGGGACAGTGGAGGTATTAGAGTCACAGAGACATGGCGTGGGCCAGTTACCTCACCTTCCTCTGAGCCTCCCTGCTTGTGTAAAACTTTAAGCCCAGGACTTGGCACTGCCAGGCACTTGACAAGCCAGTTGCTAGGAGGTTGTTAGTCTTCCACAAACCTTTCCCACGGGCTCTCGCCTCTCAGCAACCCCATTGCTTCACCCCACGGACAAATTCCCTGGCTCCTTCTCATCTTCCTGCAGCCCTCTGTGAAACAGCAATGGGTCGCTGCCAGGCATGTACCTCTGAAATATTTGGTTATTAGGTGATGATTCTTTGTACCAATACAGCCCAACTGTGAGACCTCATCCCTCTCCCTCTCTCAGAAGTTAGAGCAACAGCAAGCATTGACCTATCTTTTCTGACTATTTCCTACTTCAAGAGGAGTACACAGAGACCCGAAGACTAGGGAAGGTGCTAAGAGATGCAGAGGAAAGCAGGCAGCCAGACTCTAGGACCCACACTGGGTTTGACCTGAGATTAGTGGTGTCGTGTGTGAAAGGGGACAAGTGATGGTCGCCAGGGACATACTCACGGATCTCATGAAGTTCCAACCAACTAAGCAGGGGAGAATAAAAGGAGTTCATAGGATGTGGATTCCTAACACAGCCTTCACCCTAAATGTCCCTGCATAGCCCTGCTGCATAGATTGATAAGGGTTCCCACCTGTGCAGCACACAGTGCAGCCCTCTAGTCGTGACCAGGCATCTGGGGGCTGGAGCCCGCCCATTTCCATCCCCTTCTCTTCTCAATGCATGGTTCTGCCTGAGTAACTCTTGCCACCAGGCTCCCGGAATTTACGGAGACGGAGAAGAGGAGGATCAACGGCACCTATGACTTCTTTGGGTTTAATCACTACACCACTGTCCAGGCCTACAACCTCAACTATGGTCCTTGGATCTCCTCCTTTGATGCGGACAGGTGAGCCTGCCCCCGGGGCATGGGAACAACCGAGAGGAAGTGCTGGAAGGTGGGTAAGAGCCCTAAGGACGCATCGCGTAGGGAGGGAGTCAGACACTAGGGACAGAACCTCTTACGGTGGTGGCAGTTCCTGATAGCTTGGGCAGGTGGCACCGCTGGAGTGGAAGAGTGCTGCTTCCCTCATCCAACCAGAATGTACACAGCCCCCTCCTCCTATTTGCATGAGCTGAGTCCTGATGGCTGACTGTGCTCTGAGGGCAGGACTCCAGTGCCCACACCAGACTGGAGAAACGCATTTCCCTCATCCTCCCCTGACTTCCCAGGGTAGAGGGGTGAGCCCAGCCTCACACTCCCACACTCAGTGATCTTCCGCTGCCACTCCCACGCATCCTCATGGCAGGTGCTCTGGGCAGTCTCCCATCCATGTCTTCCTATTCCTGCAACGTGTTCTCCCCCACACTGAGAGGCTCACGTCCACTCAGCCCATCCCTGTGTCAGGTCCTCCTGTGCAGTCAGAGCTGCAACCGGAGGTCATGCCCACTTCAGCAACCCCTATGCATCCACACACTCCCAAGATTAGTGGCATACATTCCTGCCCCAACACTGGATCCTGAGACCTCCTTCCCTGTCCGCTGCCATCTCATCTGCCCAGTGGTGTGAATTCTCGTGCCACCCACTTAGTGACCAATGACCTGGGCACCTCACTCTGACCACCTGGTGATGGGGGATGTGCCCCACCCAGTGACTAGTGAGAGCACTCCCAGTCCCAGTGATTGGCCAGAGACACACCACTTCACCACCAAAGTCAGTCACATCTTGACATGTGCTCTCTGCATCTCAGAGATGCTAATGCCTCATCCAATATCCACCCAGCTGCAACATCACACATTCCACACCCGCATAATTCCTGCAGGTCATTTGTTCTTGCACTTAAGCCCTTTGATCCTCCACCAGCTACTAGGAACCCGTTTCATTCATGTGCAGTGTTTATCCCATCCATTTCAGTAACACTGCCTCATGGATAAAGAGACCTCCCACTAGAATTTCCAAAGAATTCACTAACTGCTCGTACCAACTCAGACAGACCCCCACAGTCCCACAAGGACTGTGGAGGGACCCTGACCACCAAATACTTGTTATCTCCTATCAGGGAAAGACCCTGCTCCCACACCTCCACCCAATCTGGCAAGGGAAGACATAAGAGCCTAGTGCAGATGATTCACTTGCGTGTGTGATTCACCATTTCTACTACTGAGAGTGAACGATGGGTAGCTAACAGATACTACCAAAGTCCCACATACATCAGAACCATAAAACAATTGAAATAATATAAAGGAAGCGAGATTCTATAAACAGGGGAGAAACAAAACTCAGCATACATAAAAACAAAAGATCAGTACATAACAAGCATTCATACAATCAATCAATCAACACCTTAATGCTTCAGAGACTGCAGATAATAACAAATCATATGAAGAAATTATCTAGCTCAAACAAGTGAGCAAATCAAAGGCACAGAAAACCTTCATGAGGCAAAATGGTGTGTTAGTCCGGGTAGACTACAGAAACAAATCCATAGCAACTCATATGTGTCTAAGAGAGAATTCTATATAATTCTATACATTAAGAAAGCATCCCAACTCAGTCCAGTCCAAGCCCAGTAAGTCCGATATTAGCCCATATGTCCGAGGCTGATCTATAAGGTCCTCTGCAGACTCATGAAACACATGCAATGACGCCGAATGCAGGACAGTCACAGTCCAGTGGGTAGAAAGTCTTTGGATCCAGTGGTGTTGTAAGCATCTCACCACTGGCAGGGGTCTCCAGGTGGCTTCTCCAGGTCCAGGATTCTGGCTGCCTCAGGCTAGGTCCATGTGGCTTCTCCTCAGGAATGTCTCACAAGGAGCCAGCCTTATCAGTAGCGAGTCTCCAAGGGAGTGAGCCAAGAGTAAGAAGTGTCTCCCGCCTCCAAGGTAGAAAATGCCAGAGTTCCCAAAATTCTCAGGAGAAGATCATGACCACACAGAGGCCTCATTGGTTATATTTTGATTGACAGGCTAGACTCCCGGCCCTGCCCCCCCGCCCCAGCCCTTCACTCATAATCTCCTCAAATTGACACCAGATTATGTAACTACCACAAATGGTAATAGAACTACCTGATAAGAGTTTCAAAAGGTTTATATATAGGATCTTAAAAGAGATCATGGAAAATGCAGACAACTCCTAGGAGAATTCAGGAAAACAATATAAGAACAAAATTACACAACAGACTATTAGAAATCCTACACAAGCAATAACTAGAAATCTAGATTTACAATAAAATATCAGAAATAACTATCTCAATGGAAGGACACAGAAGCAGAACCGAATCAATGGAGGAGAGAATCTATGAAATAGAGGATGAATTCTTTATTACTGAACTATTTGAGGAATAATCAGAAAAAAAAGAAGAAAGAAAAATGAAGAAATTCCGAGAGTTTGTGGGGCAATATCAAAGGAAAGAAACTACTCATACTTGGGATTCCGGAAGAAGAGGAATAAAAGAGAAGGAGGGGAAGACACAGAGAAAATTGTGGAAGATTTATTGAAAGGAAACTTCCCAAATATGAAAGATGTGAAGATTTCCAACAAGAAGTTCAACCAATCCTATCCTGATACACTCTAAAAGAAAGTCACCACTACCTGTTATAATCCAAGTTTCCAAAGACAGAGACTTCAGAGAGCAGCTCCTGACAAATCATGACAAGGGAGCCCAATAAGACTAAGCACTGATTCTGCGAAGAAACTGCAGGCCAGGAGACAGGGGGATGGCACCTAAATGGGATTCAAAACGTTTGTGAAAAATGGAATGAAAATATAGTGGAATTTATTCACACACATTTTGAAGTCTTTTCCTATATAAAAACTCAGAGAGACAAGAATTGCCAACAAGAATCATATATCCAAAAATTGTTTAGCTTATAAAAGATTTACCTTGAACAGAAATTTTGAGAGCTTTCTATTTGAGATCAAATTGACAGCAGCAGCTCCAAAAAGATTCAACAGAAACTTTAGGGGAAAAGTGAGATTATGTTAATGAGAACGGAGTAATTAAGAAAAGGAAGATAAGAAAAGTGGCACAACTAAAAAAATGTAATCAATGTCACTATAGTTTATATGTAGAAACTGTTGATTCGGGGTATGTTTTGCTATTTATATTTTCAATAGCAAAATAAAACTTAAAAAAATTCTCAGAAGTAAAATAAGGCTGAAAAAATGAAAACAAGGAACCAGAGATGCCAATCTGTAAATAACAGCAACTTCCAAGCAAAAATGGGGAACGGTGCCCATGATGCACACCTTCCCGACACAATTTCTGAAGACAAATGTGTGCATAAGCAAATGTGGTGAAGAAAGCTGATGGTGCCCGGCTATCAAAAGGCATAGTGTCTGGGGTCTTAAAGGCTTG